ACTGGCTCAGAGAAAACATGGGTGGCCAGCGTTGATTTTCCCACACTGAAAGCTTGGTACAGCTGAAAGCTGACCGTAATTTATCCAATTGGAGCTAATCTCAAGATCGGGAATGCAACGAAAGAACCACCTGTTTTTAAGCGGAAGCGGGCGGCTGTAATGCCGAAAAAGAGGGCTATGCAGCAACGAACTACTATAGTATACCTGAGCCCGGGGTCTTCACGGATTGCCGGGTCCAAAGGTGAACCTTAGGGCAACCCATGCACAGGGAGCTTGACTTCTCCTTACATCCACGTGTTTCTCACATCTCTCTCATATGAGCAATTATGGGTTGTTCGTAAGTGGGTTGCCTCCCATATTCCTTATTATTTTCTAATCATATTTCCGTTTCTACGACTGCTCTCCCCTACCTAAACATTTATTGCTAAACTAACTCCTCCATATCATGGTCTGTTTATCAGGGTGACTAACTTTTACTACTTGTTTTGAATTATCTTTTTTCGTGGCCACGAGACAGACGGGAATCTTGAAATAAAGATCATCTTTAAGGGTTAACTTGCTTGGGGCGGGTGATATTTCCATCAATTTTCAGAACTTGCTGTTAATAAGGAAAGCTGAGTACTCTAGACCGTGGTTTCCGAAGTGATGGGCATCTGTTCAGCGATGTGAGCGAGTTGATCTCCTGAGCTTATCTTTATTGTGGAAAGTAACGACGGGCGTGAAACGCGTGCTGCATATTTACTTTCTTATTCTTTTTTGTTAAACTCTCATTTTAAAGATGTAGGATTTGATACTTGGCCGGCATCTCTTTGGGTCAGGTGTCCCTGTCAGTATTTAAGTTGGAGTAATTTATGGAACATCACGGCATGGCCAGCATTCTTACATCACGTTATAAACACCAGGAGTTATCTCGTAGTTGAAGTTGTTAGGTCTCTGCTACGACTTTTTATGTCGAAAGAGGCGTGGCGCAGAGCCTAATACTTTCTGATCTCCCTCTGCTTACACACCAAGACTTTCAGACTGGACTACTTTTTCTTTATGATTCGTACTAGCAATCATTGAGATGCCTAAGCACCTGTACAAGATGTGGTGTAAGATACGGTGCGACCTAACGTGAATTTTGTTTTTATCGTACTTATCTACATCTTATTGAAAAGTGTAGACCTTGTACTGCTACGTCGGAAGTAGTGTCATGTTATTTTCCAGGTGGCAAGGTTGTTAACAGATTTATACATTGTCATTATGAATGCAGTTAGATCTATGTGCACTTTTGAAACTTCGAAAAGAACCCTGTGCTCTTATGGACATATTTTGTTACGTTCTCAGAGAAAAGCAAGCCGGGAACACAGAACAGACCAAAAGACTCAGGTCTTCCTGGCTTAACAATTGGGTTAAAAAAAACCCCAACCAACACAACAACCCCCCCCCCCCCCCCCAAAAAAAACAACAAAAACAAAAACAAAAAAAACAACAACCCCCCCCCAAAAAAAAAACCCCCCTCACTCAGGTTGTTACATGGAAGGTAACCACTTGCAGCTAAGTTAGCTTTTTGGAGGGCCCCTATGCTGTACTCTGTGGATTAAGTCGGAGCGCCTTTTGAAAATTGTCATTAATTCTTACCGTGTAGGCCCGTGGGAATTGGAATTTTGAAGCGGTTTCAAGGAAATGCGTCGTGTCCATAAGAGCCCTTGCACAGCAGCTTCAATTAAATTAAATTGTGATCTAGTAGCGTCATTAAAAAATCCGACAACATGGGGACGCATAGTTCACGCGCTTACCTTTCGAGATGTGCAGTTAATACCTGTTTAGCGAGTTACACGGAAGATGGTGAGCGGTGATTGTGTAATTGTATGTTATGTGTGTGTGTGTGTGTGTGTGTGTGTGTGTGTGTGTGTGTGTGTGTGTGTTTGTGATGTTTTCCCTTTTCTTTAATTTTCCTTTTCAGGCATCTTTAGTGTCACGGTATTCTGCTTGTGTTGAAATAGAGCTTCGTTTGTTTTATCATTTTTACAGCTTTTGAGAACATTTTGAGATTTTAATAAATCAGTTATACCTGTAGTTTTTTTCCTGTGCGTTTAAAAAGATAAAGATGCGCGCCTATTAGTTGGTCTTTCTGTAATGTCCTGACCCGTTCTACCGGCTGAAATTCTCATAAATCCGTAGTTTTGTGAGAATTAGGTAATGTATAGAAATGGCGTAGAACTCGCCTCCGGGAGAACCACTTGGTCGAGCTTCTAAATTATCAGTGAAGAGCGCCGCGGTGTTATGGTATGTCAAGATGACTCACATAAAAAGTGGTCACTGACTATTTGGGGGGTTAGACATTGTCATAAAAGACCATCCTTTGAGAGGAACAGACAGGAAACAGAACAAAGCAAAAAAATGTCTGCTGGGTTACCAGGGAACGAGAAAAGCCATCACTTCTTGAAGTTCAAAAGTTGGGATCACCGAACTCTGATCTCTAGCAATTAAAGAAATCCTCACCTGGAAGACGAAACAATGCTCAACGTAGCCCTCACAACGCCTCGAGCCCTACACTGTCCTCTCTTGTATTCGCCATGAGTCTTTTCTGATCAAGGTATTGTACAACCATCTCGCATATCTGTTTTGTTGGAATGTTGCCTGTCGAAGCTGTTTCCTCCTTTTCCTGTTCACCTTGAGCTCTTCCAGCAATGATTACGTATTGCAACGTTATGAAATCTTTTTACCACCTGCGGTTGGGTGTGCCAGGAACGCACGACTGCTTGAAATTGTTAAATTCTTATAAATACCCCCTCCTAAAAAAAAAAGAAAGAAAATTAAAAGAAAGGGAAAAAACCAAGACCGTCATAATAGTTTTCGTTTCCTGTCTTTGCTCCATTTCAGGCCTTGAACCGAAGAGGCGTCGTCTTGAAGAAGTTGCAGCTTTAGGTAACGCCGAATAGACCGCCACCCCTTTCTAGTCTTTCTCTGTCGTTTAAAGTACATGCATAATTCGCCCAAGAATCTCTCTCTGGAACTCTTGATAAGAATATTGATGAGCCAGCTGAGGCATAGAACTTCCACAGCTATTCATTTCAGAACTGCTAAACTATCGACTCCTCGCGGGCCACGGGATATACAGTCTTTTCAGTATGGGGCACATTCTCTCTCTCTCTCTCTCTCTCTCTCTCTCTCTCTCTCTCTCTCTTTG